AAATTGTTGCTTCCATTCATCATAACTTGTATCATCCTTAGGCCATTGATCCAGTTGTGTAAGTTTGGTTCCACCAATTGGTATGCCCAACATGTCATGAACAGACTCTGCTGTTACTTTCAGTTCCTTTCCTTCAATATCTATCACCATTCTCTCAGAATCAAATTTTTGAAGAACATAAAATCCCAGCTTCAGTGGTATATCTGTGATTTTCATTTTTAACAAAGCTCCAAAACCCATAGATCTTACAGATTCTTTTTGTTCTTTGCTCATCCCAAGGATTATAGATAGTAATGCCTCTGGTGAACATCTGTTTTTCATTGAGTAAAATTCTTTTACCATTGGTTTTTTTTGTCTTTTTTGATTGGTGACTCCTTTTTTTTGCCTTCTTCGATGGATGACTACTTTCAAAATCAGAGTCTGAATCTTGTAGTTGTTGTTTTTCAGGAGTTTTCCTTTTTGATGGACTTTTTCTGCTTTGATGCTTTATTTTCTTTGGTACTTTTGTTTCTTTTTTATCTGGGAAATGAAAACATATAATATTTGAATAAGTTACTGATATATGAATATGATATATGCTCGTTGATTTATTAATATTTATTTATTACAAAAATATAACTAATATATACAATTTTATTCATATATGAATATATTAGATATGATAGGAATTTTGTACCTTTCGCATTTTTCCTCTTCAAATCTGTTTCTATCATAGTTGTGGGGTCTTTATCAGAAATACAAATCTTCTTACCTTCATGAAAGAGTGAGTAGAAGATAAATAATTTTGAAATACATTTTACAAAGAAAATATATTATATTCATAAATGAATATAGAATATTCATTTATAAGATATGATATGTATTTTATACCTTTTTGATTTTTCTGCATTGATCTTGTTTCTCTCATTGTTGGTGAATCTTTATCGGAAATGTTAGTGTTCTTACCTTCATTCAATAGTAAGTAGAAGATAAATGAGTTTGATATTCACGAATGAATATTTGAATAAAACATATGTATTCATATTTTTTTATTCACATATGAATATGTTTTGTTATATTCATATGTGAATAGAACATATATAAGTCATTCTTGTTGTATTCACATTTGAATAATGTATGTATGGCAGCAAGTTATGTTCTATTCATATATGAATATAACATACATATTCACGAATGAATATTTGAATAAAACATATGTATTCATATTTTTTTATTCTCATATGAATATGTTTTGTTATATTCACATTTGAATAATGTATGTATGGCAGCAAGTTATGTTCTATTCATATGTGAATATAACATACATATTCACGAATGAATATTTGAATAAAACATATGTATTCATATTTTTTTATTCTCATATGAATATGTTTTGTTATATTCATATGTGAATAGAACATATATAAGTCATTCTTGTTGTATTCACATTTGAATAATGTATGTATGGCAGCAAGTTATGTTCTATTCATATGTGAATATAACATACATATTCACGAATGAATATTTGAATAAAACATATGTATTCATATTTTTTTATTCTCATATGAATATGTTTTGTTATATTCATATGTGAATAGAACATATATAAGTCATTCTTGTTGTATTCACATTTGAATAATGTATGTATGGCAGCAAGTTATGTTCTATTCATATGTGAATATAACATACATATTCACGAATGAATATTTGAATAAAACATATGTATTCATATTTTTTTATTCTCATATGAATATGTTTTGTTATATTCACATTTGAATAATGTATGTATGGCAGCAAGTTATGTTCTATTCATATGTGAATATAACATACATATTCACGAATGAATATTTGAATAAAACATATGTATTCATATTTTTTTATTCTCATATGAATATGTTTTGTTATATTCATATGTGAATAGAACATATATAAGTCATTCTTGTTGTATTCACATTTGAATAATGTATGTATGGCAGCAAGTTATGTTCTATTCATATGTGAATATAACATACATATTCACGAATGAATATTTGAATAAAACATATGTATTCATATTTTTTTATTCTCATATGAATATGTTTTGTTATATTTACATTTGAATAATGTATGTACGGCAGCAAGTTATGTTCTATTCATATGTGAATATAACATACATATTCACGAATGAATATTTGAATAAAACATATGTATTCATATTTTTTATTCTCATATGAATATGTTTTGTTATATTCATATGTGAATAGAACATATATAAGTCATTCTTGTTGTATTCACATTTGAATAATGTATGTATGGCAGCAAGTTATGTTCTATTCATATATGAATATAACATACATATTCACGAATGAATATTTGAATAAAGCATATGTATTCATATTTTTTTATTCTCATATGAATATGTTTTGTTATATTCACATTTGAATAATGTATGTATGGCAGCAAGTTATGTTCTATTCATATGTGAATATAACATACATATTCACGAATGAATATTTGAATAAAACATATGTATTCATATTTTTTTTATTCTCATATGAATATGTTTTGTTATATTCATATGTGAATAGAACATATATAAGTCATTCTTGTTGTATTCACATTTGAATAGTATGTATGACAGCAAGTTATGTTCTATTCATATGTGAATATAACATACATATTCACGAATGAATATTTGAATAAAACATATGTATTCATATTTTTTTATTCTCATATGAATATGTTTTGTTATATTTACATTTGAATAATGTATGTACGGCAGCAAGTTATGTTCTATTCATATGTGAATATAACATACATATTCACGAATGAATATTTGAATAAAACATATGTATTCATATTTTTTTATTATCATATGAATATGTTTTGTTATATTCATATGTGAATAGAACATATATAAGTCATTCTTGTTGTATTCACATTTGAATAATGTATGTATGGCAGCAAGTTATGTTCTATTCATATATGAATATAACATACATATTCACGAATGAATATTTGAATAAAACATATGTATTCATATTTTTTTATTCTCATATGAATATGTTTTGTTATATTCACATTTGAATAATGTATGTATGGCAGCAAGTTATGTTCTATTCATATGTGAATATAACATACATATTCACGAATGAATATTTGAATAAAATATATGTATTCATATTTTTTTTATTCTCATATGAATATGTTTTGTTATATTCATATGTGAATAAAACATATATAAGTCATTCTTGTTGTATTCACATTTGAATAATGTATGTATGGCAGCAAGTTATGTTCTATTCATATATGAATATAACATACATATTCACGAATGAATATTGAATAAAACATATGTATTCATATTTTTTTATTCTCATATGAATATGTTTTGTTATATTCATCTGTGAATAGAACATATATAAGTCATTCTTGTTGTATTCATATTTGAATAATGTATGTATGACAACAAGTTATGTTCTATTCATATATGAATATAACATACATATTCACATTTGAATATTAGTTTTGCTTGTGTTCAGAAGTAAACAAAAACATATTTTATTTACCTTTTTGATTTGTTCTTGTTTTTCGTTTATATGTTTTCTTCACTGTTGGTGTTGTTTCTGTAGGGTAAGTAGTTAATATTAGGAAAACATAAGCGAAATGTGAAGTAACGTTTGTATTTGACAGAATAGTTTTGAATAAAGATGAAAAATGAAGAGATGATGTAAAATCATTTATATATCAACTAATAATGGATGATTCTTACAAAAATTTCAAGTAAATAAAGTAAGTAACGAATGAGGGTTACGAGAATGAACGAGTATCATAAAAAATTGAAGTAAACAACCTTTTTTGAAGAATGAACAGTGTGACAAACAATGTTTTTAGTTCTAAATCAACTAATAATTATCGAAGATTACGAGAAATTTCAAGTAATCAAGTGATAATTTTAGAAATGATTCGAAATCGTTAAAAACTCGAGAAAAAACGCCGATGGTTACCTTTCATTGTCAAGAGTGAGGAAATGGTCTCGTTCATGTTTTCATCGGAAGACATTTTTCTTCGTTTATGTTATTTGATGCTTCTGCAAATGGTTTTCTTCTTATCGATTCTTCTGCAAATGGTTTTCGTGTTATGGTGTATCGAAGAGGGAAATGGTGCTTTTCTGTCGAGATTTGACGTGTTATCAAATTACTCAAGTGCCCTGACGGTTTTAATGTTTTGGATTATTTACAAATTTGTCACCGCTCATTAATGTATTTTGATTATTTACAAGTTTGTCACCGTGCGTTTTTTAAGCTTATTAAATGATTGGCTGAGAATGGTTCCCCCATTGTCAACCTTTTTTTTTCTCAATTGAACTCTCCAATATATATTATATATATATATTATATATATATATATATATATATATATATATATATATATATATATACTCTAAACATTTATTTATAGATCTAAAAACATATTTTTACATTTTAAACCATATAAATAAAGGAAAAATCTTATACACAAAGAAATAAATTTAAAAAGAATCTAAATATAATGTTTAATTAAATAATTTTTTATATAAAAATATAAATATGTTTATAATATAAAAAAAACATAGTTAGGTAAAATGTAAAAAAAAATTATAAGTTTAAGGTTTAATTTATGAATTTTATTTTATGATAATCTAGAAACACGTTATCATATGCAACAATGACAAATGTAAAATAAAAAATTATAAACTTCATACATTTACAAACATAAAAACGTATTTATGGTACAACCGTATTTTTTACAAATTTAAGGGTTGTTACGTCAATATCTTAAAAACATACGATTACGTGACTAACTACCATCTAATAAAGCTTTCAAATAACATGGTTAATGTATAACGGTGTAAGAGCGTCATGGTGAAAGGAGTTGCGGCGGAGGGTAACGGACGTTAGCGAAACGTTGTTAGAACTTTACATCCAATTTATCGACGACGAAACGGTGACCATATAAAAACACACTTGTTTATCAAAACCAAAATCACACACACTCAAGAACTTTGTTAGAGAGAGAAAGCGAGGGAGAGAGAGAGAGAGAGAGAGAGATCTGGATTCTGGACTGACAATCCTATCTTTCATCACAGCGCAGACACTGTTGCTTTACATCATCATCATCACTTCATCGCCATCACCATATACATACACAATTCTCTGTACTTTCTTCACAACACCACCTGCACAAGAGGTGGAGGAAGTTTACTGTATAAAATTTTCTGGAAAGAAAGATTTGCGAATGAATTCCATGGAACATTTTAATTGATGGCTACTGGTTTCGCAATTCTCCTCCGTAACCATCTTCAAAGCAGTTCTAACAACTGAATTTCGCAAAAGGATACACGTTCAGATCGATTAAGGGTACGCATCTGTCGATCGTCTCAGTTTTACTTCCTTTCGTTTTCGATCGGGTTTCCTGCCTTCTACGTTTCCTGTTTCTGTTTATTTTTATTTTCTCCAGGAGTTTTTCTTCTAGTTTCTCTGTTTGTATCTGCGATTATGATTTTAGAGAGCTGAATTGTGAAGTAAAAATTAACTCATTCTGTCTACTACGTTAACTTCTTTAATCAAAGTGGTTTAGAATTTTAGGCTAGGTAAATTTCTCGATTTGCATCCTTGTGTTTTTTCAAAATTCTGTTTACAAAATTATCCATGGAAGATGAACAACTTGAATTTCCTGTACAAACAGCAGAAGCGAATTTTCCTAATTGTTAGATTTGTGATTTGTGAAGGTGGTGGAATCTATCAATTTCAGTCGGAATTACGTGGTGAATGCGCCTCCAAGGTTCAAGAAGAGGAGGCGCAACCGCGGTCACGTCATCTACATGGGCGGTGCTACTAGATCTGGACATCCGTGACGTTTCACTTTCGTTCTCGTTTCCATAATTTCCCAACAGCAAAAATAATTCAAAATTTCCGCGACCTCACCTCACCTCACCTGACACAACATCTGTCCGTTTTGTTTTGCCCTAATTAATTGGATCCAATCCAAAGGAGGAGAAGCAAAATCTGTAAATCCTGATGGAGCTTCCTCAACCTCGTCCCTTTGGAGCCCAAGGTACCCACTTTTTTTTCCCTCTCTCTTTCACGCGCACGTGCTCATACGTACACACACAGGATGCGTGCGTGGATGTACGTCAACCAACAGAAGGGGGGAATTGTTGCTACTTGTTATGAGAGTTAACGATGGTGTGTGTGTGTGTGTTTGTATGTGTGGATGACGTTGATTTTTTTTGTTGAATTTACAGGTAGAAAACCAACGCATGACTTTCTTTCACTTTATTCACCTTCCCAGCAAGATCCATCTCCTACTCCCCCTGGTAAACAAATTTATTCCCTTTATATTCTCGTAATTATTTAATTCATCATCCACTTTGATTAATTTAAATCTTGCATAGTTAGTATTATTGTCAAACTCGAAGTCGTTATTAAGGTTTATGTTGAGAATTGAGAATTGAGATCATCATCTCTTCAAAAAAGAAGAGTGATCTTGCTGGCTATGACATACCTTGCTTAGTTGAACAAAAGAAGAATCAAATGCTTGTATTATCTTAATTAGTATCATAAAAAATGTTTAGAATAAGATGAATTTAAAATAATAATAATAATATAGTAGTATGTCATATATTTAATACGCAAATGTATTAATTTATAGTAAAGTTTTGTTATGACATTTCCAGATTAAGTTTGCTGTATTCATTATTTATACAGATGGATGATTATTTTTGTTAATATTTTTTGGACAATCGGTAGAAATTAACCTTTTACATTTACAATTAATTTATTTACTTTTTGATCAATTATGTGTCAAAATAATATAAGTTTATGAAAAGTTGAAAAAGCAAGAAATTTAGAAAAAGACTGAAAGAGACAAAAGAAGATAAATAAAGGACGACAAAAACGATGAAGAGAAATGTCTTTGTTGGGATCGGTGATAAAAATATCAACCGCATTTTAGAGCAGTAGTGGATTCATGTTGGCTATCACGTGGTGCATCTAGACACCTAACCTTCCCATCTATCGTCTTTTCTTTTCTTTTCTTAAATCTTTTCCTATTTTCAGAAATTAAAAAATCATTTTTTATATCTTTAGCATTTATTTTCACACATTACCTTTAATAAATAAAAATCGTTATTAAACCTTTTATGAAATAGGTGGCTACCTTGAAACACATGACTTCTTGCAACCATTAGAACGAGTCGGAAAGAATGGTACTACCAAAGAAGTTGGAAAGAAAATCGAAGAACCACCACCGACCGGAAAGTCCCTTCCGCCGGCTCCGGCTCCTCCTACTGCGGTGGAGCACATCCTTCCTGGCGGGATTGGGACTTACAGTATTAGTCATATTTCTTGTATGAATCAAAGTCAAAGGGTGGCAAAGCCTGAAGGTGTCCTCATCGCCGCCGCACAATCTAGCGGCAGTGATAAAAACGATGAAACTTCAAACTGCAGTTCATACACAGGGAGTGGTTTTTCACTGTGGGAAGAATCTACTGTAAAAAAGGGAAAGACAGGGAAGGAGAATATTGCAGGAAATAGGCATGTCATAAGAGGTAAAAATAAATTATATAGAAGTGTGTGTTTTTGTGAGAATTAATTAAGTTTTGTTAACAGATGGGGGGATGAAGATCGGAGGAGTGCCATCGCCATGGATGACGTCAGTGGAGCGACCATCACAGTCGTCATCTGCTCATAACCATCAGAGCACGACTATCAGTTCTCTCTCATCTTCTCGGTGTGTTGGATTTCTTTCAACTTAATTTCATATCTTTTATAATAGTAATCTTGTGTATATATAATGCTTATTTTTATTTTTAATGGTGATTTCAATATATGCAGTCCATCGTCAACACAGAAGAATCAGAGTTTTGTTGAGATGTTGAAGTCTGGTAAGAATACACAAGAAGATGAGGATGATGAAGAAGAAGAGTTTGTTATCAAGAAAGAACCATCTTCACACTACAAAGGTTTTATTTTTTTACTCTTGGCTATTTTCCAAGTTTCACAAAAAATGAAATCATATCATGATCATTAGTGTACAATTTTTTTTTTAATTGGAAAATGATAGGTGTTTTGTCTGTTAAAGTGGACGCAGCACATAATGATCAAAAGCCCAACACCCCGCGTTCCAAGCATTCAGCTACTGAGCAACGTAGAAGAAGCAAAATCAATGACAGGTACTACATCTTATTCTTATATGTGGTCTCAAAGATTCCCAACAACATAATAACACATGAATAAACATGGAGAACTCTAAAACAATTTACTGTATGGCAAATTATTACAATTACATATTAATCTCTCAAGCCACCCTCAACCCTCAATTACATGCAAAGGAAGTGTAGTTTGGTTGGGACACTTAGAAACCAAACCCGTGGATCCTTTTTGTAGGCATTGAGCTTGCTCCACCTTTTACTTTTCCATAATGAGATAAAGTAATGCATGATATTGATAGTCAGTTATAGTATGGTCATTGCTAAGATGGATATATATATTACCATTTGGCATTTGATATATACTTGTGCAGATTTTCTATGTTGAGAGAACTCATCCCTCATGGAGATCAAAAGAGAGATAAGGCATCATTTCTATTAGAGGTACATCTCTGAATTCTTTTATCTTCAGTACTCAAACTGACAAATATCTAAGCTATGAGTTTTGTGAATTTTCTAGGTTATTGAATACATTCAATTTCTACAAGAGAAGGTGAACAAGTTTGAGGATTCATGTCGGGGATGGAATAATGAACCACCAACAATCATGCCATGGGTAAGTTGAAGATTTCACATATTCTTTCTCTAATTGTTAAACCCCAATTCTTAGTTTGCATTTCATTTGTCACACTCGCAAAACATTTCTAGGGCTATTTTCTATGATGAGGAAGGGTTCACGTCTTTTGCACAGACGAGACTCGAGAGAGACAAAAGGTTGCAACTTTTGTCACACTGATTCGCAGTCCAGTGCATGCCAAACACAGTACAACCTATTCTAATTTTACTATCTCTCTTGACTTTGATTCAAATAGAACCATAACCAACAAGTAACGGAAGGTTTTGTTGATCAACCACGAGTCCAAAACGGTGCACCTGGACCCGCATTGCTATACGCTCCAAAAGTCAACGAGAACAAGTGCATTGACCTTCCAAAAAAGGGACAAAACCTATTCGATTCCGACATGTCTTCCCTTGAAACCATGAAGGAAATCGGTCAACACCCGCAGTTGACCAACAAGGGATCTCCTTTTCCTTCACCATTGCAGCCTAACATATACTCCCCTGGTTGCGGAAGCACCAGTGCCAACGCCCCAATTCCACCCATGGTACCCGATCCAGTAAACACATCATCCCATTTGCAGCATTCAAGATCATGTACATCTGACTGTACCCTTGCTACTGATAAATTAAAAGACCAGGAACTAACAATCGAAAGTGGCACCATTAGCATCTCAACCATCTACTCTCAAGGGTACATAAATATAAATATATATATATATATATATATATATATATATATATATATATATATATATATATACCAAATTCATGGTCCTTTTGTTTATCTATTAAATTTGTTTACTAACGAATTGGTGTGGAAGCAGGTTATTGAGTACTCTAACGCAAGCACTACAAAGCTCGGGTGTCGACCTATCACATGCCAACATCTCGGTACAAATTGACCTAGGGAAAAGAGCAACTATCACTACACATGATTCCTCAACACCCGTTCTAAAGGTGGTTACGTTTTCTTCGGCTATTTCGATGGCATTTACGTAATTTGAGTGGGATAAAAAAAAATTAATTTTTGTGTCATTGACTTTATTTTAATGTTTTTGTGTACTTTGCAAACAGAAACATGGAGTCCCTACCATTAATGAGACGGTAGGACGTTCACGGCTTGCAAGCACACGGGAAGAAAAGAGCGATAAAGGACTGAAGAGGTTTAAGACTAGCAGAAACTAAAGGTTACTAGGATAAACCCGATTAATTAATATTTCGTATCATCCTTACTAATTTTTTGGTCCTTTCACATTATTGAGGATCATTTATGTTTTATTTTTTGTTTGGAGATACGATGTACATGGGAGGGGGGGAGGTCAGGGGGTGTTGCATAGAATATATTGACACAAATGTATTGTTATTATTCATTGCCTGTCTCTATAAAGAGGCTTAGTTCTGTAGTTAGATTGATAGGATTATTGGAAATTTATTGAAACCAACACCCAATTTTATTGTGGATATTTGCAACGAGACCTCTTTAAGACTTTTAAATAAGTCGAACATGTTTTCAGGTTCTTATCATGTTATGTTAAGTGTTAAAGTTTTTTTTTTTTTTTTTTTTTTTGGAACCGGTGGAATTTTATAAAAACCACTGCCTAGAAAGAGCAAAATAAATATTTAACTAAATGAGATGAACAAAATAAATTTCTAATATAAATCTCTCTCTAAGTTCCATCATTAAGTTATTCTGACTTGTTGGAGTATTATACCTCATGGTGCTATCGAACTTTAATTGTATGCAACTTTAAACTTTTGTTGTGGGATGGACCTATGGAGAAGCTTGCCCATTAATTTCAGGCTTAAGCAGGAGAAACGGGACTTGAAACTAAAGAATGCTATCTTCGAGAAGGAGTCAACACCAACTTGAAGCAAACTTATGCAATAAATAACTAAATAAGAACTTAATTAGGAACCACAGATTTGTCCAAGTATGAATAGCGACAATAAGAATAGTATTCCAGTCCCACAAATAAATGATCCATTTATTGAACTCTGTTTAAATTTAAACACAAGAAATACATATGCCTACTAGAGTATAGATAATAAAATACAGACAATGGAGACCCTACTTTGCATACTCGATTCCAATAAGACCAAAAGCCTCTAAGAATCCGTCCTCTAGTCTAGCTAAAGACATCCATGCATCGCCTTCTAAGACTTGGGTCCCATAAATAAATGATCCATTCATTGAACCTCTTTTATTTGTTGCTTTCTTCGGTTGTTTTGACTTCCATTCCAGATCGTTGGATGTGGGATTTAGAGTCTTCGGGTGTTCTCTGTGACCTCAGCTAGAAACTATACAGATGGACTTTTGCTTGATTCGGGTTCTGTTGCTACTAGATGGGTTTGTTTGGTGTTTATTAAAATTAATGTTTTTGTTTGGAGACTGGCTTTAAATAGGCTTCCCTACAGGGTGTGTTTTATGTCATGTGGTGGCATATTTGAAGATTCTGAAATCAGTTACTATTTGGGATTCGGAAGAAAAAAGTAAAAAAAGAAGTATTTATTTGATAGTATTGTTACTCAGTCTTTTATTTGATGTAACCATAGGCATAGGTCTCCCATTAGTTGGATGAATTGGCATCAAAAGCCGAACACTGTTGTCTTGTAATTCCTTGGTTATGCTTTGTTCTTTCTCGGTCTACCTCGTTTCTAGCTTTTGGTTTTAATAAAATATATGTTGTTCAAAAAACAATAAATTATGAAAATTATAAATGTGTTTTTTATTCAACTTGTCTGATCTTCAATTTAAGATTAAAAAAAAACAAATTAAATTCATATTTTTGAATTTTTTTCCAATGTCATGATATAAATTTAATTAAATTGTATTAATGAAAAAAAATGATGTGTGTTGTTCAAATGGTATGGGAGCCATCTTCTATCCCCTTCATGATGGGTCGTGGGTGGGCAGGTTTGATGTGTTGTTCAAATGGTGTGGATTACCCTAAAAACACTAAATGATTATAGAGGGTTTAAGCTAATATTATGACTTTTGGGAGTTTCAAAATGATCATCATCTTCAAATTATTGCAATCCAGACTATCTCATTTTGTTTCGGAATATCAGTTAAACAAGTGGGATTTGACATAAAGAGTTCAAAGGATGATATTTTGGACGAAGTACATTCGAGACTCCATTTATCTTACATGCATTGCCTTTTGAACACATTGTATATGACACCTAATAATCCGAATTTCAGACTACAATAAATTTGAAAATAATAAGAATACGTTCAAAGTCAAAACCCAATGAGTGTATCCAGAATCTAATATCTCATAAACACGGATAACACTTCACAGTCATTTTTTGGGCAACCCATGAAAGTGTGAGATAGAAAGCATATGAAACATACATCTGTTCTTTTAACAAAAAAAAATGTTAAAACATGGTATTTTGTACCATGAAATACGATGTAAATACTAAAAAAAAAAAAAAAAAAAAAAAAAAAAAAAACTAAAGATGTGTAGATTCTGATGCAAGGACATAAAATATATCATTTAATTGAAAATTCGATTATAGTAAACATTTTTAAGATAATCAGCGAAATGTAATTTTTTGCAAATGTTTGTACAAATGAAAAAAAACCGCATAAATTATATGTCATCCAAAATCTAAAATGGTTTTGTTTCATACTTGATGGCAATGTTTTAAAAATCGGTTTTTTAGTTGAACCGGTATGGTGGCCGGCTCCAGGTTCAACCGGTTCGACCGCTGGGTGAACCGGTTTCTATATTTTTCATGTTTTTTTTTTCTATTTTCCTACACATATATACATATATAAATTATGAATTTGATGTTTACAAGTTCAAACTTTAAAAATACACATAAAAATAAGTTGCAGATGAATCCAAATACATTAAAATAACACATAACCATAAGTTTAGTGTTTTACATCAATCCATATACGTCAAAAAGAAAATAAAGTATAATACCGAAACGAAATATAGTTTTAGATGAATACAAACACATCAAAAACTTTATAACATTTACCATATGTTTTTATTTAAAAAAAACTAAATAGATTTGAAAAAAAATCATCAAAGTTTATTATGTAATTGATTTTTTTTCATGTGTTTTTATTCGGTTTAACCGGTTCAACCGGTTTATTTTGACCGGTTCAACCGAGTTTTTCTAAAAACCGGCCGATTCAATCCGGTTCAGAAATCAATGTAAAACTGGTGATAGTTGAACCGCTCCCTCTCCCGGTTCCCGGTCCAACCGGTTTGACCGGCCGGTTCAAACCGGTTTTTAAAACATTGCTTGATGGTCATTTTAGCCGCTCTCAAAAACTCACATTAATAACCTAAATGCTTAATAATGGTATGTTAGATTTTGGGTTAATATTATAAAAGATTTTCCATTTTCGTATTTTTTCAATTTAAACTTTTTTTTATTATTAAAAATAGTAAAAAGTCTCTTATGTTCTTTCAACTTTTTCTATTATGATCATTCTAGCAGGCTTTTCAGTAAATGTTTTTTTTTAAAAACCCTCGTATTTATTTGACAAACTTTTCCGATTTAATTCATAATTTTCTTGTTCTTGTTGTTGCTAATGATGTTGCTTATGTTGTTCTTGATGGATGAAGTTGGAAGTTCGATTGTATATGTGTTTGCTAATTTGAAAAACCAAGGTTCTACGTCTTCTAGCTTGAATGAAATTTTATCACAAATGGTTTCACGTTTGCTAATTTCAACACTAAGGTTGTTTATATTAACTTAGATGGAATCACAAATAGCTACACATTTGCTAATTTGAAGACTAAAGCTTATACATTGCTAATTTAGATTCTAAAGATTCTATGCTTGCTAACCGAAGATTTAACATCTGCTAATTTGAAATAAATATCGAAATAATGCTTAAAATTTGGTTGACTATTATTATTGATGGAAAAATTGAAGACTCAAAATAATCTATTGATATTATGATAAAATCAAATTACATAAAATGTGAAAAGTAGATTGCAAAGTAGATTGAATTTCGCAAATTGTCTTTTTGTTTGATTTTAAAAACGATTGAAGATGAGATCTCGGTGTCACCAAGCATTTACATTGTTCTTCAATAGAAGAAATCTCTAAACATATCTTTAAATAGTTATTGATGCCAATTAATGTTTCTTTTAAATTTTAATGTTGAAAAACAAACACCGTATTACAGGGCAAGAAAATAAGCATTACGAGACAACAAAAAAATTGGTTCAAACGAAAAAAGAAAAATAATAAATATATTGATTTTTTAAGAAAAAATTAGGGTTTTTTTATTCGGTTATAGAAGATTAATCATTAATTTGCTAAACTCGCCGGTATAGAAAAGGAAAAGTACAAAATTGTATTTGAAAAAAAATTTAGGTTGAAAAAACAATAATCTAAAATTATTAAGGCTTTTTGTTGGATAATCTTGATGATGGGTTAAGTCCATTTTGGTTCATGGGTTTAGATAGGTCCATTGTGCACGTTTTTCTTAATAATAAAAGCTTGGTAAAAGCTGTTACCGGGTCTTAAGGAGGTAGTTTGAAGGATATAAGAAATCAGCTAGTTTTTAGATGAAATAAGTATTATTCAATTGTTTTTGCATGTTCCCACATGAGTATGGCTATATATAAGCCTCCTTAAGCCTCCTTCACTTTTCACTTTAGCTTTAACAGAGAGTATGTCATTAAGTTTTTTTCTCTTGCAACTCTGAATTACCTTTTTTGGTTACTTGGTAGAAAGTCATTTATTTTCTTATGTAAGGTCACTTAAGTTTTGAGAGTCCATTTCCAACACTTTTTATATATCAAACCTTATTAACTTTAACTTTTGGAAATGGGAAATCATTATTAAAATCTTATTATTTTACCATAATTTATGAATAAATCTCAAATTAAGGCCCCGTTTGATACGCATCTTTCCAGGCCCAAACAAATCTTTCTGGCTGAATGGACCGAAAATACTGTTTTATTTGCACAAAAAAATGGTCTTTCCCGGTAAGATATGTTTTTCCCATAAACCCCCAAAATATATATTTCTAACTGAATGGGTTGGAAAGACAATTATACACCAAACCCCGCATCTTTCTTTCTTTCTTGGATTATTTTTTTTAAATAACTTTTTAATGTATTATTTTATATTAATAAATATTATTTTAATATATAATATTTATGTATTAATAAATATTATTTTATTGGATTATTAATTTCTTTTAAATAATTCTTTTTTAGATTAATTCTTTTTATTGGATTATTATATA